GCGAGGGCCACGTGCATATTGACCACGGTATTGTTATCCCCGGGCGAGGGTCACGTGAACTAAGGGTGGCACAAATACATTTCAGAAAAATAGACATTCATTCATAATTCATAAAATAATGTTTCAGAAAACATATCGCATCATATTGGTCAGAAAATACTTGTAATTAAACATAACTTTACAGAGTTATTACTCACAGATAGTAGCAGAAACAAATCAGACAGATCAAGCAGACAATAGCGCGTGACCTACACAAACACATAACATATACACATTGAAGCACAATATTACTCCATTGATCAAACTAAACTTTCATATTTTCTGTCTAAATAATTTGAAGGCCCTTTACGCTTATTTTTTCTTTAGTCAGATGAATCGGGTTCTCATATCACAAATCCCTTTTATTACTAAATCATTATTTTTTGAATAAACCAATTCCTCACTTGACTTCTTAATCAAGTATCACTAAGTTAATGACTTATTCTTTAATCAACTAATTTATGTTGATTGGCAACTTATTAATCTTTATTGAGTCATAAATCATGTCTAGAATGCTTTGGGAAGAGATGAGAATAAAAATATGAACTAAATATAATTTTTCAAAATATACTGAGAATAGTTGTTCGCTCGAGCGGGCCTTTAGTCTCTCGAGCGGTTTGTAAAAGATTATAAAAAGTACTGGAAGCCTTCAATTTGCGCTCGAGCGGCAATTAGTCCGCTCGAGCGGTCTGTAAAATTCCAGAATTTCGAACTTTTCAAAAATGGCTTCCAAACGCATTTTCAATTCTTTTTAAATCCATGCACATCTTGATCAAAACCATGAAAATGCCTTAGAAAATATAAACACTTATTTGTTCATAAATTATTTGCTCAAAATTTTGAAACATAATAATTAATTTATTTAAATCAAAACCTTACTTAATTTCAAAATCAAAACCCATGAACTCATGGTTTTCTAAACTTTTTTTTCAAAATCAAATGTACAATTAGAATATCAAAATTTGTAGAATTTGTTCATGCATGTAGGAACTAGACTCAAACTCATGTAAGATATTCAAAAGCAAATCCAAATTAATTAGCTTCCATAATCATGAACATGCATGTAACTCATTTTATGTTCAAAACCCAATTTCTTCCTAATTCCATGAATTTAATCTCAAATCCTTCTCAATCTCAAGAAATCTATGATGCATGTAAATTTACAATATCCATAATAAAGGTTCAATCGCTAATTTTTAACATAATTTTCAAACACTTCCAAAATCCAATTAAACTTATATATATAATTCAATCTATCAATTTCATGATTCTATTTTCAATTTGGGGAAAATCATAAATTATCAACTTAGGGTTTTCAAGAAAAATCAAGAATTTCAAGAAAATTGAAACTTCTCACACCACTACTTTTAATTCCAATTTCCCCCTTAATTATACACCTAAGGTTTATAATCCACCATATTAACCCAACAATTAAACCCCAAACACTTCAAACCTTAAACCCCCAAATCTCATGATATAACACTATATGCTAAAAAATGTAGATTTTGCATTTATATAGTCAAAATACCACAAATTTGTCTATTAATGTAAGTATTGAAGAAGAACTAGGACCCCTACCTCAAGAATCAAGCAAAAGAGAAAAGCTTTGATGAGGTTCCTTCACAAATCCGAATTCCAATCGGTAGAAAAATAAAATCTTCATGTGTTATTCACTTTTTGGTAGGAGATCTTGGTCAAAACTGTGAGGAATTGAAGATATTTGGGTCAAGAGATCAAGGATTTTCGAACCTAGGATGAGAGGAAGGAAGAGAGAAAAAGAAAATGTAAAGAATGATCTAGAAATTCATTTTTTAAGTTGCTGAATTCGCGCAGTCTGCTCGAGCGTCGCTTTTCCCGCTTGAGTGTACCTACTTTCAACACAGATTCCAAAACTTCAAATAGGTATAACTCTCTTATCCGGACTCCGTTTTAGGTCGTTCTTGTGTCCAAATTGAAGCCCCGGAAACAAGTTTTCCAATGGTTGTAGCCTCACACCCAAATTCAAAGTGTCAAAAAAAGAAAAGGGGCAAAAGAGTGACGGTTGATCGTAGGCAAATTATTCGAATTAAAGTTTTTGGTCAAATCTTACTTTACCATCATGTTACCACCTCAATCAATATCCCAAAATAAAATAAGAAGGTTCCAAATACACTAATAAAAATGTCAAGGGCAATCTCACTTTCCACGCTCGAGCGTCGCTTTCCAACAAAGCTGTCTACTCGAGCGACCACTCTTACGCTCGAGCGGGAATTCACAACTCTCAGAATTTCAGACCGTCTACAAAAATACTGAGAACCTCTTAAGTTCGCTTGAGCGTCAACTTCCCCGCTCTAGCGGAGGGAGAAATTCTAGATTGTTACAGATCCTAACAATTTTTTTTTAATATATTATAAATAAATAAATAAATGAATAATTAATTAATTTAATAACGGGGTAGGTTGAAAGTATAAATCTGAAACCCTGCCCATCAATAATTTTGAAATGAAAATGTATGCCTAACCCGGCCCTATGGGCTAAAATAATCTTTCCAAGCCCTAGAAAAATAGGGCTGGGTCGGGCGGGCTAGACGGACCAACGAGCTAATGTCCACCCCTAGTTGTTGCTGAAAGAGTACTATGATTTTTTTTGACTTCCTTATGGAAGTTTAATAAAATAAAGGATTAATTACTTAAAATTCTTAATGATAGTAGCTGTGGTAGCTCAAGTCCTATGCAATAGTTTTTGGACGCACAAGTCCCATTTTGGAATGCAATTGACATTCATGCCCTTTTGAATCTAACGTATTAGAGATGCAACTTTAGAGAAAAGAAGAGGACTTGGAACGTCCCTAAGAAATTTTACGACTAAGAGGAGGAGTAGAGTTTGCATCTTCATGGATCTTTTCAAACATTTAATTATGATGATGATCGTTTGAATTATCCGAAGATTTTTAAGTTGGAGGTTTGTGATGCCTCAACATTTTACACTTTCGTTTCGATCTATTCTCTTCCTTGATCACTTCAATTTGCAACAACTTTGTGTGTGTTTGTAACTCTAACCTTTAAAATGCTTGATTGCTCAATTTCAGGGTTCAGAACGAAGCATATGAAATCGACTAAAGAGATGGGGCAGGAGATCTGGTTTGTAGGTAAGAACAGAAATATTCTCAGCTCTAAAACTGAGAATGTTCTCAATTTAAATTTGAGAATGATTTCAGTTTGCAAAAATATCCAATAAAACTGAGAATTTTTTCAATTTTTTTAGTGTTAAAACTGATAATATTATCATTTTTTCAGTTTTAAACTGATAATATTCTCAATTTTAAAATTAGAAAAAATTGAGAAATTTCTCAATTTTACACAACCATTGTTTATGAAAATTTCTTAGTTTACAACCATTGAAAATTGCACGATGAGAATGAAATACCTCTTTTGGGGAATAAGTGGTCTTGGAGGTGTAGTTTAATGTGATCGAGTCCCCACTCATTTAAAGGATAAACCCAGTTGAACCTAGAATCATCATTTTTCCCCAAGCTCTCGTAGTCACCAATGGCGAATGTAAAGGGATTGGATCTGAAACCACATCATCCATGATGAGGATGAACTTAGGATGTTGCATATTTGGTGGGTACAAAGAGAGAGCTTCGAGAACTAGTGATTGAATATGGAAATCGAGAAGACCAACTTTGATTTGGCATGGTGGAGAAGAACGATGATGGTGTGGGAGTTGAGGCAGGTGTTGATGGTGTTGAGATAGATAAGGAGAGAACCAAAGTCAAAAAGCTTGGGCTCTATTTTTTATATGTGAAAGAGGGAGTCTGAAAAAAAAAAAAAATAGAAAACAAATGAGAGAGAACGACATGTTTGGTTGTTGTTATTGGGGAGTGGCTCTAAAAGTAAGAGAGAGAATGAAGATGTCAACTTTACACCAAGTATGTAGTAAGACATCTGGCAGTGATGGAGGTTTTAGAAGGGTAAATTAAGGATAAATTAGTCTATTAAAAATTAATGGGACTTAAAGGAACAAATAATCTTATCTAGGACTTAATGGATTATAAGTTCATAATATGGGACTTGTATGTAAATGCCTATTTTTTAAAAAATATTCTTATTAATAAGAATTTTATAATTTGGCTTCAACTTTTTGTTGGATTAGATAGTTGAAATTTTTTATCGGTAAGAATCATTAAATAAAAGTTTTTACCATTAAAAGTCTATAAAAACACACTTTAATTAATTTTTTAAAAATATTCTTATTAATAAGAATTTTATAGTTTGATCACCCTTAGGACATCTGTAACGGTATATCAAAATTTTTACTAAATTTGAGTAAAATGTCAATGTAATATCAAGTACTCCAATGGAAGTGTTTGAAGCTTCATCAGAACACTAGTTGACCAGGCAGATGAGTGGACATATATCCAACCAATCGATTGGCCACTGTAAAGTTTTGCCAAATTTTTGCCTTGAGGTGGTCATTTGGGGGGTCAACCGGGCAGATGATCGAGCAAATGTTCGGTCAGTCGAGCGGTCAGTGTAAATTTTTTACAAATTTTTATCTTGAGTTGGTCATTCGGAGACATCTGAAGAGATATTCAGGAGATGGTAAAAATCTATCAGGTATAAATAATGATTCGATGAACGACACATCAATTCTTAATCTGATGAAAGATTTCAAAAATTCTGAATTTAATAAAAAAAATTAATAAATCATTAAAGCAATAAAAAGTAAATTTTTTAATCAAATTTAAATTTGATAAAACATTTGCCCAACCATTGGAGATGGACTTCCCAAAAAGAAAAAAAGAAAGAGGTTCTATTGGAAAGAAGGCATTCCCAATCAGAAACACAAACGTATGTCATGTTTGAGAAACCGGAAACCCTACACATTATCTCACTACTTCAAACTTGAAAGAGGTCAACAAAATCCAAATCCCCTGCTCCTTCTCCCTGTTTTGTGATGTAATAATTAGTTGTAGCTTGCCCCTCTCTCTCTGCATCTCTACTCTCTCTCTCTCTAAAAACCAGGGGACTGCAGTTTGATTTCTTGCTCGGTCTGCTCTGCTGCTGCAACTATGGCGGCAGAGACTTCTAGATCTACTTCATCGGCCGATTCTTACATCGGCAGCTTGATTAGCTTGACTTCCAAGAGTGAAATGAGATACGAGGGCGTTTTGTACAACATCAACACTGAAGAGTCCAGTATTGGATTGCGAAACGGTACTCTCTCTCTCTCTCTTTCTCTCTCTATTTTATGGGGCTTTTAATTGTTTTCTGTTTATTTTTTGGGGTTTTTGATTTGTTAATCTGAATTTATCTCCTTTTTTTCTTTTTTTAAATTTTTATCTAATACACAATTTTGTGCTGTAGATTGAAAAAGGAATGTACTTTTCTGCTATACTCACGAGTTTGTTGCTTGAAATTTGCGTCTTCGCACTTGATTTAGTGAATAGACTCATGTTTTGAGCTGAAATTGGCACCTAGATGAGTCGTATTTTGAAGCAGTTTGTAATTGGGGCTCGTGTGAGAGTGGAATTATACTGCATCTGTTGCTCTTGATGTCTTTGTCAATTTTATTTATTTATATATTATAAGTTGTGCTCTTCGTTATTGAAGAGACAAGAGAGGTTCGATACTATGCCTTGTTTGGGGAGAAGCGTTTTGGCTAAAATAGGCGCCCAAAAAAAAAAAAAAAAAAAAACAAACACAAAAATGTCACATTTTACCCATCAATCAATCATTTTTTTCCCTTACAACAATCTATTCAGCTAATCCAACTAAACTAGGTATCCAAAATTCACTAACCTTTTTTCATCTCATAAAAAAGTTAAAAAATAAAAAAAGCAGCTAAAAAAGCCAAGTTCCCAAGCGGGCTCTATATTCATTCTGACTTGGTCTGTATTTTTGAAGAGGACGGGCCTGTGCTATGGTTATCTCAATGTAATAAAAGTTGGGTTTAGTAGCTTAGAGAACTTTGAAATATCCCAGACAATCAGATTTGCAAATCAATCTTAAATTATGAAATTCAGATTACATTTCAACATAAAATTTTGAAAATTTTGAAATATGAGCTTGCACTGCTGGGAATTGTTTAACCAACAAGATTTGCCAGTCGTCATGTGTCAACTTTTAAATTAGAGAATGACCAAAATAATGCTAGTTGACTATGTAAGTCTGAAAGGGGTAATGCATATAATGACCAGTTTTACTATTTTGGCTTAGTTTTTGTAGTTGTTAAAAGAATTCTATTTGTGAATACTATTATGCTATGGTTTCCATGTTAATTGCTGGTGTTCATCTTTCTCATGGTAGTGAGATCATTTGGAACGGAAGGACGGAAAAAGGATGGTCCACAAGTTCCTCCGAGTGACAAGGTTTATGAGTACATACTATTCCGTGGAAGTGATATCAAGGTAGTTTGGTGGCAACCTTATGCTTGATTAGGTTGTCTTGTTATTGAGTTCCATACTTTGCTTATTTTCCTTTATTGAAAAGCTATTCTTGTTGTGCCTTGGTTTAATTCCCCTCTTTTTAAGGATTTTTGTTTTTTATTGTGAAAAATAGAAAAATCCACCTTATACATCTGGTTTAATGATAACAAATTTTGTTCTCTTTTTATGAATAGGTGAAAGAACAACACAAGCATGTAAAATTAAGAGAATAGATCAAACAAAAGAACCATATAGGGATTTTTGTTTCTTAATGTGTTTATTTTGTAAGCTCTGCGATCCTTGTTTTTAATTGCTGGGTCAATTGAAATGTATGAATATTTTGTGGATTAAAACCTTGTAAACTCGGTCTCAGCAGGATTCTTTTCTGTTCTACACACACACACACACACGCACACACACACACATATCTATGTATTTTATCTGTTTGTGGTAGTAGCAATACCCCTGAAATGTTCTGTGTGTTTACAGGATTTACAGGTTAAATCTTCTGCACCTGTTCAGACCTCACCTCCCATTAACAATGATCCAGCTATTATTCAGGTGATCCAAAGGAAGACATTTGTATACGTGTTGCATTAAATTACTTATCAAAAAAAAGATTGATGATTTTAATTGTAAATTTGGTTCTGAACTCTTCCCGATTCCGTATGCAGTCTCACTATCCTCGACCTGCTTCTACATCTTCAAGCTTGCCTCCTGCTGTTAGTGGATCTCTTGCAGATCTTAGTTCCCATACTGCACAGTTGGGACATCCAGGGTCAAGTTTCCAAGGTAGTTTACCTTTGTATCAACCTGGGGCAAATTTAGGGTCATGGGGGCCTTCACCCCCTATTCCAAGTGCGAATGGAAGTGGATTAGCTATGCCAATGTACTGGCAAGGATTTTATGGCCCCCCAAATGGTCTCCCTCAGTTGCACCAGCAAACTTTGCTTAGGCCACCACCTGGACTATCAATGCCTCCTTCCATGCAGCAGCCGATGCAGTATTCTGGATTCAATGCCCCTTTTCCAACTGGAGCATCTAACTTGCCTGGTTCAAACTTGCCAGAATATCCTTCTCCTCTGCTTCCTGCTACTACCAATTCCCTCAACTTGGCACCTACATCTTTTCCGGCATCAACTTTGCCATCAATGCTTCCTCCTGCGCCTTCTATCACACTAGCTCCTGAAGCATTACCTAGTTCAATCACAAACAAGGCTCCTAGTGCTGCCCTGCCTACAGCAACTCTAAATGCTAACCTGCCTTCTCTTTCTCCTTTGGTTACATCAAGTCCAGATACAAATGCTGTTATACCACCAATCTCCAACAAGACTAATGCAATTTCTGGTCCAACTTTGCCATATCAAACCATATCTCAACCCATATCCTCTATTGTTGGGAGTCTTGGGACATCCAGTTCAAGTCAGACAGAAACACCAACACCTTTACTTGTAACCCCAGGTCAGTTGTTGCAGTCTGTACCGGCTGCAGTTTCTTCATCTCAGTCTTCACAAACAGCTCTGAATTATCATTATATTTTTTAAGATTTTTTTCTTCCTGGGTAATGCTATATGAACAGTTTTTTTATTTATTTTATTTAAAAAGAAGCAAAATTTTCATATAGGATGATGTGGTCTTTTGTGGTCATTTCATTTAAAACCAAAACACACACCATTGTGGCTCATAATTTCAGAAGTTGAAAAACCACCACTTTCACATCATTTTGGATGAGTTTTCTGTAATAAGTTTTGTTTGTAAATAATTTTCTTTTTCTTCCCTATTGCGGTTATAGTGCTGATTCTTTTAAATTTACCTGACTCATTAAATTGCAATACTAAGCACAAAATCATTTACACTAGTTGCTCCAATCAATTATGATTCTGATTGTGTATACTGCATGATTATGGATGTATATAGATTTCTTTTCTCTGTGTGCATGGGTTATCAAGAAATGCTACAACTTGCTTCAAGCAATTTAGGTAGCACTTGGTAACGTTTAAAAGGCTACAATTTGGTTTGCATATGTTTTTTGTACACCACATCCGTGTGTGTGTGTGCATAGTTACAGCAAAACCTGTGATGTGAAATTTGGTTTCTGTTCATTGCATAAAATGAGAATACATCTCCTGTTGAGTTGTTTCATATGTTGTGTAATTAATGCTGATGAGGACTCTTAATGTCTTTCTTCTTCAGCTGAATGGAGCTCCTTTCCAAAGTCGTCATGGCTATAGAGGGCGTGAAAGGGGAAGAGGAGCTGGGGTAATGTGTTCCTACTCTAGAATTTGACAAGAAGTTGTTGTTTTATTAACCAAGTTGTCAACCTGAAATTTTTCCTGAAGTTCCTTAAATTGCAATTTTATTTGCTTAAACAAATGTCCGTTTGATAACTTCCTTTCTTAGGTGGTTACAAAATATCACCCTGCTATCCTACACCAGCATCAGCATTATAGTGTATTTTTTATTACTTTTTTTCCATGCAGAATACTTTATTAATCTATTGGATTATATTATTTTTACTAACTAGTAGTTTTACTTGTGTAAGATGAACTGCATGCCATATGATATTGTGCATTACCAATACTATGTTTTTACAGAACTGTTTGTTGGCACTAATGATAACTTCGCTTTTCAGGATATCAAGTTATTAAAACTTCGGTTACTCATAAAAAAAAAGAGGTTATTTGAACTTTGTTAGATTGCTAGATTGACTTGCGAGGTATACTCTCATGGAAGAAACCGTCTTAACTACAAATGATTCTTTAAAAGTCTGCATATCCTCTAAATAAGTAGATGAAACCCACTTCTGCCAAAGCCCAAAGGGGAAACTCGCTTGGAATGACTTTCTCTCTCTCTCTTTCTCTCTCTCGTATTTTGCCTATGCAGCCCTGCTGGACAGTTAAAAACCATTGAACATGTAATTATGCACAGCTGGCCTCCATGTGTGTTTGTGTGCATTGGGTGGGGGGCTTGTAACCGTATGCACCCTGTGTCTCTGTGTGGCATTTAACTTTTCTCATTTTGTCAAAATTTTGGGTGGGTAAGCTCAGATGATGCTTCTAAAAATTATTCAGGGAAGTATATGGGTTTTTCTTAGAAGAAGCATGATTTCTTATTCATCTGCTCTATTAACAGTGCACTTTCATAATTTTATATATATATATATATATTTTAATTTTAATTTTATGGTCATTATTAGAGTGTTGAATTATAGCTTTTACTTTCCACCTTGAGATGTTGCTTTGGTAAGGAAATGAATTATGGCTTGTGCAATTATTTTGAATTGATGAACATTGAGATTAGATAACAAAGAAATGCTCAGAAGTAATGTGGGACTGGGAGATGGAGAAGCAGCAGCTTATGGATTTACCAGTGTTGTGGTGGGGAGCTTGCAAATTGGTGATTTTGCAGTTTTTCTATCTCTCTTTAATGCTTTGAGAGATGGCAAATGGGGTTTTAGTTCATAGGCAGGTATCCTAATTGACGAGGAGCAGTGTTTATTTAAGATATCCTGGGCTCTAGGTATCCAAAACCAAGGTGATATAGAAATCTGTTAGATTAGGTATGTGGACTGTTGGCCAGAGTTTTTATAACATGTAAACACTGATTAGGATATGGCATCCTTTTTGCTCGTTAGATCTGACTAACGAGAGAACCAACGTCAGGGATAAATCATATGCTTTGCTTGATGGGCTCTGAATTACATTTGTCTCATCATCTTGGATCCAAAGTTGTACATGTTCAAAACCTGTGGTTGGAGAACTCAACCAAACTGAATATTATGGGTTCGGGTTCTGGTTCAGGAGTAAAATCCAAATTCATTCTTACTGTTCCCCCTATCCAAACACAATAGTGAATTCCTTGTTTTATTTTCAGTTAAAAGCTTAGGTTTTCTTAAGGATTGCAGAATGTAAACAAAAATGTTAGTTTTTGTTTTTGGCACCCATAAGCACATATTCCCCCCCCCCTGATTTGTGATGTTGCTTGCGTTTGGAATGCATTTATCTGTGTAACTATTTGAAATTGGAAGGTTGTGAGATATAATAGAATTTACTCAGCAGTTTGTAATTTTTATTTGATCAATTCTTGATGATGTACTGGTACTGAAATACTGAATTATGTTAATCTGAATTGGGGTTTGATGACATTGAATACTGAACAATTGGCATGCAGAGTTCGCGTCCAGTGACAAAATTCACTGAAGATTTTGATTTTATGGCAATGAATGAGAAATTTAAAAAGGATGAAGTATGGGGTCATCTTGGCAAAAGTAACAAGTCTAAAGAAGGGGATGAGAATTACAGTGATGAAGATGATTTTCAAGATGAAGACAGTGCCGAATTACCAAATTTTGAGATCAAAGTGAGATATCCATCCCGTTTTCTACTTTCTAAAGCTAGATTCAACCTGTGAATGAAGATATCTTATTATACATTTTGTTTTTTTGTCTTCTTATATCACGTTTGCTTCTGATTTTGTGTTCTATAGCCTGTTTACAATAAGGATGACTTTTTTGATACCATCTCTTGCAATGCACTTGGTCATGAATCAAATAATGGAAGGACTAGGTTCTCTGAGCAAATGAAGATAGACACAGAGGTAAAATTGCCATTTGGTGGTTTTGGTTTTTACCTTCACAGACTAGGTCCTCTAACATGGTTGCCTGTTTCTTTGGGGTACAGACATTTGGTGATTTCCCACGGTATCGAGGAGGCCGAGGTGGTCGGGGGCCCTATCGTGGTGGTCGTTCTCGAGGCTCATATTATGGAAGGGGTTATGGCTATGTTGGGAGGGGTCGTGGTCGGGGCTTGTGAACTCATGCTCCCTAGATATTGTGTGGTATTTTTCCAATTACTTGGGTAGAAAAACAAAAGCTTGATTGTCCCCGGGGCCAGGATATTTGACTTGGGACTATGCTTGTAATGTTTGTGCTTCTTACTGTTCATTGGGTGAAAAATAAAATTAGAATTTGTGGTCTTTGATGTTTTAATCTCTTTTATCTTTATCTATGTTTTTTATTTTTTATTTTTTTGGGTCTTTTCTCTTGCTGGATATGCTTCTTGTTGTCAGAAAATAACTCGTTTACTTGTGAGACTTATATACTAATAAGGTTCATATGAGAGCAGAAATGGGAAAGAAAGGTGAATTAGGTTGAGATGGATTTCTTATTGGCATTGATTTGCGAGTTACATTAGCAAATCTGGAAATGGCTTTGGTTGGAACAGTTTAGATGGTGAAATGCATTATTGTAGGGTTTAGATTATTGCTAATGATCGTATGTGGGTTTCAGTTTGGAGTTTTGCATTGAATCAAGTTGCTTGATCATTTTTTTGGGGGTTTTGCTTTGGTCTTGTTGATTTGAAATTATTATGGCGATAAGGCATGCTGGTAATGTTTCTTTGAGGTATGACTTTCACAAGGAAAATGTTATACATCCCAACAAATTTATCAAAAAAATTACCAAACACATGGATCCTTTATCCGTGTGGTAGTTTTTTGATAAATTTGTTGATAACTCTAGCATTGCTCTGCTTTCACAATGCAACCTTCAGTGGTTTCAAACCAGCATATTGGCAGCATGTAAATTGTAACTTCTGAAGTTATGGATTACAAAATCAAAATGAAAGATGTTTTTTCCTTTTTTGGGTGTGGGGCAAAAAAGGAAAGAAATATACGTGTGAGGAAGTGGTAATGAGGGGGAGGGGATTGGGGAATGGCTTGTACATAGTTGTGATATTTAATTAATTTATATATAAATTAAGGATGTACAGGATAAAATAATATATTATGATAATTATATTTAATTTTTTGTATTTTTTCTTTTGTAAATAAAATTTTATATATAAGTTTAAAAGTTTTGTTTCAAATGTTTCTTTACTACAATATATAGTATATATATATATATATATATTAAAATTGTTGTATTTACAATTCATAATTAAAATTATGTTTTGTTATAAAAAAATGACATAATTCTCATACTTCACTATTTTAGAATAAAAACATATGAATTTTAAAAAATTGTAATATTAGTTTTTGAAGGGAAATAATTAAGTAAATTTTAAAAACTTAAGAAACAACTATCGTAACATTAATTTAAAATATCAAAAAAAAAGTTAAAAAATGAATTAGGAATTTAAAAAGATGTGATTACAATTAAAACTAATGCCATAATTATTTGGGCATAAAAAAAAAATTATAATTTTACTTGGATATCTATTTATACTTTAACATGCTTATATAAAACAAAAATAAAAATAAATAAAAATATTAATAATTTTGAGTTTTAAAATATGAATTTATAAACTTACTATATTAACTTTTGGAAGAAATATATTGGAATTTTTTTACAAAAATTGAATATTAGTCATTGAACAAATCTTATCAGATTTAAAATAAACTTTATAATAGGAAGAAATTAACGATATTGCAACATATGCATTTTAACAATTTTAAATTTTGAAAAAAAAAATAGATTAAGACTTTCAATTTCAATTATCGTATAACATTTTATTTATATAATAACATAAATAAGGATAGGTAATAGACAGATTAAATTTAATTATAAATATAGCTATATTTAAAAGGACATGATATTATATAACTATATTTCAAATTCCAAAATATATTTTTTAACTTCGTATATAAAAAGATTCAAAATTTTAAATTACATATATTTTTTTTTCTAAAAACATATGAACTCATAGTGGAGTAAAGAGAGAAGTACCATAGAGGAAGAGAGGAGTTGCACATATTAAAAATAAATAATTAAATAATTGACTAACACCTTTAATAATTTTGAAAAAATAGATTAAAAATAATATATTTTTTTTATAGCTTTGAAAAACTATTATATATCTTTGAAGTAATACGCTGCACCAACTGTCAATTAACACATATTATGATATCAAAAAATATTAAAAGCAATTTTTTTTTTTAAAAAAAGTAATGATATACAAACATAAAATCAATACAAAAACTTGTTAATAATAATTTTGTTTGAATTTTGATCTATTACTTTATAATAAGTGACATATTTTTTATTATACGAACAACCTTATTACGTCATTTTAGTTTAAAAATTATAGTAAAACAATATTAACCAACAAAAAATAGTTCTAAACAAAAAACAGATAATGATTACTAGAGGAGGGAGAAATGACTTACAAAATATGAAATACAAAAATAAAAAATGGTCATAGATAAAAAAGAAGGAAAAAAAAATGGTGTACCTAAAGGATAAAAGAGTCGGTTTGAAGAATACAATATACTAAACAAAAACTAACCTCTAAATTGTCTCATAAAGAAAGTTAAAAAACAATAAGTTTCATTGTTCTATGAATGTAATATTTATAGGGTGAGGAAGACATAAATGACTAAGAAAAAGTATAATATATGATGGTTAGAATTTTTTGATAGAATAAAGAATTGGTTAGAGAAAGAGTGCATAATAATGATTTTTTTCATCTTTCCTTTTTTAAATTATAAATCATGAAATCATTATAAAAAATAAAAAATTATGATTTTTTTTAAAAAATATATATTTAATATAGATATGCTTAAATTTATTTGGAAATAAAATTGTGTTTAATTATGGAATAGAGAGAATCTAGATATAATGTTTAATTTTTATTTTATGTTAGGTTTAAGTTTAGGTTTATATAGATCAGACTAGTTATGAAGGATATTAATAGTATACATTTATGGGATGTGAGAGAATTTCCTTTTTCATTAGATTTATTTCAAGAGAGAGAAGATTGTATAAAATTTATATTCTTTTTAAATAAATGCTTGATTTATTTTGAAAGGAGAGGGGGGTTGAGAATTGTGTTTTTTTTGCTTTCTTTCTTTCTTTCTTTTTTTTTTACCGTGGCAATGGGCGGGGCGGGGCCGGGGATCACCTTCCCCATTCCCGATCCTCGATGGTGGAAACTCTCCCGTCCCCGGCCCCGACCCTCGACGGGAACCCACTACCACCCCCACTCCCGCCTCCTAACGGGAAGCCGGCGGTGAGGGAGCTGCCGATGAGAATGTGAGAAAGAGCCGGCCGGCGGTGAGGGAGCTGTCGATGAGAACGCAAGAAAGAGCCGACGGTAAAGGAGCTGTGGTTATGTGTTAGAGAGTGAGAGAGAGAGAGAGTGAGAATGAGAATAGGTCTATGTTATGTTTGTTGTGCCAAGTCAACCATACCCTAGACACACATACCCCCCACACACACACATATATATATATATAAACACACAACACACACATATATATTTATACATATATAAACAGAATCAGGGGGGTTGAACGGGGCGAGGCCGGGGTCGGGGTTGGAAAATGTATCCCCGTTCCCGGCCTGAACATCATCGGGGATTTATTTTTAAATACCATCCCCAGCCTATCGGGGGTATTTTTTGAGAAAAAACCGCTCAATTCGGGATCGGGGGATCGGGTCCCCTTCGGGCCGGGTTCAAATTGCCATCCCTAAATATAGTTGCATTAAATAATTTTGAAAGTTAATATTTATATCCTTGTAATAGTCAATAGATATTTTAATTTTTTTTTTAGAAAAATAGAAAATTCAAAAAATTATATTTAAGGTTTTGAAACGCTTAGAGTCTCTAAGATGAAAAGTCACTTTGTATAATATATAGTATAGATAGATAGATTATGAGATTTAGGAAAGAGACAAATATTAAAGGAGAGATTTTAGGAATTTGTAATTTAATTATTTAAAAAAAAAATCTATAAATACTTTGTTAGCTAATCGTACTATTTTTAAATATTTTTAAAATTACAAAAATTAGCAATTGTGGTTTTAATTCTTTTTAATCTATAATATTTTTAAAAACATATATAATTACTTTGTTAAAAGATGAGATTTGTGTTTTTTTTAAATGTATAATTACTTTGTTATGCAATGAGATTTAAGAAAGAGAGAAATATTGGGAAAGTGATTTTAGGAACTTATAATTTAAAATTTTAGGTGATTTTAATCTATAAATACTTTGTTAGCCAATACATTTATTTTTAAATATTTTTAAAATTATAAAAATTAACAATTGTGAAATGAGACTTTCTAGGTTTGGCATGGGTTATTTTGGCTATTTTAGTCAAAAAAGACAAAATAGGTAAAAAAAATTAATAAAATAAAATATTATATTTAAATCATAATTATTTTATTTTTCTCTCATAAAAGTCAAAAAATTCATTCAAAACGAAACCTTTTAATCTCAAACTAAAATAATTAAAAAAAACTAAAAGTTTTTTTTTTAGAAAAATAGAAAATTCAAAAAATTATATTTAAGGTTTTGAAACGCTTAGAGTCTCTAAGATGAAAAGTCACTTTGTATAATATATAGTATAGATAGATAGATTATGAGATTTAGGAAAGAGACAAATATTAAAGGAGAGATTTTAGGAATTTGTAATTTAATTATTTTTTTAAAAAAAATCTATAAATACTTTGTTAGCTAATCGTGCTATTTTTAAATATTTTTAAAATTACAAAAATTAGCAATTGTGGTTTTAATTCTTTTTAATCTATAATATTTTTAAAAACATATATAATTACTTTGTTAAAAGATGAGATTTGTGTTTTTTTTAAATGTATAATTACTTTGTTATGCAATGAGATTTAAGAAAGAGAGAAATATTGGGAAAGTGATTTTAGGAACTTATAATTTAAAATTTTAGGTGATTTTAATCTATAATTACTTGGTTAGCCAATACAGTTATTTTTAAATATTTTTAAAATTATAAAAATTAACAATTGTGAAATGAGACTTTCTAGGTTTGGCATGGGTTATTTTGGCTATTTTAGTCAAAAAAGACAAAATAGATAAAAAAAACTAATAAAATAAAATATTATATTTAAATCATAATTATTTTATTTTTCTCTCATAAAAGTAAAAAAATTCATTCAAAATGAAACCTTTTAATCTCAAACTAAAATAATTAAAAAAAACTAAAAGTCATAAAATCAACCCACATCTAAAACGAAGATT